GGCTGCAACTGAGTGCTGGATGGCAATGAGGCTCGCTTTGTTGCTCAGCCTCAGGGCCTCATACACTGGGTCCACGAAGTCGGGGTAGGCAAAAATACGTCCAAGTTCGGCTAAGGATGCCTGGAGGGCCGTGGCATCAGACGTCATCTTTGAAATGTTGGGGGTCGTGCCGCCTGGCAACTGCACTTGGGATTCTGACCGTGTCTTCGAAAGAGCATTGTTGACGATGCAGGGCACTTCCATCAAGCTCGGGTAGAAATTCTGCTCGCTGAGATCCACCAGACTGCCTAGGCTCATGAGGACGAGCTGCATGTCGTCATCTTCAACATTGCCGCACACATTCCTGGCGAACTTCTCCCAGCTATAGTAATTCGCCATCACCTCAGCAACGACATCAGATTGTACCTCAGCGCGGGCAGCGCTTACAAAACCGAGTGCTGACCTCTGCTGACATCTCAGAGGTGTATCGATTCTCCACACCTATTCTACATGCCCCGACCCGAATCCCGCCGCGCACCTTGTAGTAGGAATTTCGTAGTTGACTCAGCCGTGTGCTGTCGCTGTTGACGATGACCGCCAGGTAGTCCATGATGACCTGCGTGTCCAGCATCGTGCGGAAACGACCCATAGCTTGCCACACCACTCTGTCGCGCATCAGCAGCTTGGAGTCCTTGGTCGATCTCCAAGAGCCACTTCTTGAACTCCTTCGACTTGGTCGCCTCTTTCAGGCGACACCCGCAAAGTGAACTTAGGCTATTCACCGTCATGGGCCCCTTCTGCAGCTCCCGCACGACCTCCAAAGCCTTGTGCAACTTGTCCCTGTCAACGAAACCGACCAACCTCCCGATGGACATCACGTCCGCACCCAACCGCTCAAGCTGCATCCACGCTTCGTGCGCATAAGCCACCGCGCGGTCTGTCCCGCTTGCAAACTTTTCATCATGTCGTCGCGCACCACCATCAGCAAGCGCTCGCTTTTATTGCAAGCGGTTATGCGCTGGAGCGCGATGGTGAGCTCGGGCGACAGGCTCATGCTGCGTGCCTGCCTGCTGATTCCCAAACTGGCTTCCCAACTCGCCACACAGAGTTCACGACCGGCCGCGCCGATGGCACGATAGGCTCTGAAAACTACTCCTGTATCCTACACAATATGCGATGCGGTCACTGCATTATCTGTGCCTACTTTTCTTTGAAAGCTCCTGGAGCCGGAGCCTTCAGTTTTGCGCACAGCAAGCACACTCTCTTGGTTCTCAACAATGGTTCTGCAAGATACTTTCTGCGTTTTTCTGGGGGCGAAACTGAGCCGGACACTCTGCTTCAGGCTCCTGCCAAGACTTTGTGATATTGCAGGACGCTTCAGCACTGAACTTTCGAGGAACCTGCTCGAAGACCTTCGGCAGCTCGATGTGCCGTGGCCTGGGCCCGTTGCTGAGTAGAGCTCGAGCTCGCAGAGGCGACTTCAACTGGTACATGGGAGTTTCCGAAGATAAGGGGTACCTTATTTGGGGGTTCTTACAATAAGGATCCTACTATTTAGGGTACTATATGAGGGTCCCCTATTTTCGGAAACCCCCACATTTTCTGCATCCGGGTCGCACAGCGGTTTCTGCAACCTTGGACACCAACTGCTGCAGCGCCTGGCCGATGAGCACACGGGAAATACAATGGAATGATTCGGACAGGCGCGGCTGAATGGCCTGCAGGTTCACGGCAGGCAGGGGGCATGCTTCTTGGACACTAAACAGACGAAGCATACCGACTGATTGGGAGTTCGCCGAAACTTGGTGGCAAGTAAAGATTGAATTGCCGCTGTGGTAATGTGGCTTGCGTCCCATGTTGATGTGCTGCCTGGCCATTCTCGTCCAGTTGCCGCAGCTGGCGCTGCAGCCGTTCCACCTCGCTGGTCAGGGCCGCCAGTAGAGCCGTGCCTGCACAAGCCCATGTGCCGAAGGCGGTTTCGATTCTGAGTTCTGGGAAACTCAGCTCAGCCAACGAAAAAGAACATCCGGAACACACACACACACAACTTACGTATCACAAAACCACATCAGATCATCAGAGACCTTCTCCGGGCTTCCCCGAAGCGGTACTCATGTGCAAAGAAAAGGCCCGGCAGGGCCGGTGCGTCGAGGTTTGGGTTTGGGACCCTTAAGCGAAGTCAGCTGAGCTCAGACAGGTCTGAGTCTGCCATCTTCAACCCCGTCATCAGAAGGCGACTGGAAAGAAAGAATCCTGAATCAACGTTCTGTCTTCTGCATCCAAGACCTCTTAGACTTGCTCTACTTTGTCACCCATAGACACTCTTCTACGAAGCCTGCCTGGGTCCGGGCCATAATCAGTTGGCTCCACTTGTCCCTTCGCCGGCCGCGGCATGGCACAGGCGCAGGATCACAAGGCCTCTACGTTCTAAGCTCGTGCCTCTGCTGTGAAGCAATCTAAGCCTGCAGTGCGAACGAATCATCGAGTGTCTGACTTGCTTCCACATCGTGAGACTGCCGTGTCTTGCCATCCAGGGCAGCGAATCCCCGAGCTGCGTGAAGCACCACTCAAAGAGGCTCCTATTTTCAACCCTTTTCAGCATGCGTCAACAGCAGGGCCTTCCCATTTAACGAGGGATGCAACCATAGGAGGAAACCCTTAACCCTTTTGCAGTTGGGCTGTGAGTGTCAGCCAGCGCAGCTCTGAACCTAAATCCTTTTGCAGGGCTTCTCTCGCCCAGACAGCCAAAATCCTTAACCCTAAACCCTTTTTACGGCAGGCTTCTTTCGCCCTAAACCCTATTATAAACCTGCCAAAACCCACTTGTTGTAGGTTCTTATTAGCGACCTTAAATCTACAGGGACCCTACAAAAAAGTAGGCTCTGGTGATCTAAGACGGTTAAGATAAACCCTAAACCCTGCCCGTTGCACTCGCCTTCCAAAGCCATGGCCAGAGCTTCGGCCTTGCTGCGACGGAGCAGCACCCTCTGTCCACAGATGCAAGACACCGCGTACCAAGTCAAAGTACAGGCGCAACCGCTGGAGCGAAGGTTCGATCTGGATCTGTGAGAAGAACGGACTCGACTGGAATATCGACTACCTATACATACATACATACATACATACATACATACATACATACATACATACATACATACATATATATATAACTATGTATACATACATATAACACCTATATATGTGTATGTGTGTATGTGTATACATATATATATATATATATATATGTGTGTGTGTGTGTGTGTGAATATGTGCACCAATGCATCAACAAAGAAATTCTGGGACCCGGGCGATCTGCTGGGTGTAGAGACCACCTTGCTGTCATGTCCGAAGCTCGGAAGTTTACGAACCCCCGACTTCATCCCAAGCCCATAGAGCAAGCACCATAACAAGGCAAAGCACCGAAGTTCTTGTCCAAATAATTTGGCCCCATGCGGGCTGAGGATTCGAAACCCCACACGGTGGCAAGCTTGGTACCCGCCCGGCCGGGGCGCGTGCCCAGCTTCGTGAGGGCGGCAGCCGCTGTGAGCCGGACCTACGACAAAGGCACCGCAAGTGGCCAAGGAGGGAGTGGCGACACATGCATACATGTCCGGCACCGCACAACACCCGCACATTCTGTGCACGTCATGGCGTAACTATACACATAAACATCAACGAATTGTCCGAAACTGACTATGGGCACGATGCCTTGAACTATTGAAGGGGTGTGCAACGACACACGGATGAGAGCGTCAATCCATTCACATGCCTACAGACACGATCTCGCACTTAGACATGCATGAAGCAAGCAGCAGAGATGGAACCATCAAAAACCCTTCTGCAGAAAGATATTGAGAGTACCGAATATGTGATATCCACATGAGACTATGTGTGTGCATGGAGCAATAACATACACATGTACCTTTGCACAAGTGCTTTCAACCTCTGGCTTGCAGCTTGTAAGGTATATGACACAGGATGACAGACCTACGTGCTTATGTGACGAAAAATTCTATGGATATGTATACATATATACAGATATTGTTTATAGGTGTGTGTGTGTGTGCGTGTGCACTCGGACATAAATCTAGGCACAAACTCATGCACAGAGGCGCGAAAATCAACCCCGAGATCACAGGATCAAGGTGATGCTGAGTTTCAGTTCGTTGTTTTTTACAGACAACATATTTTTCCGAGGTGAGTATGTGCCCGTTTTCAAAAACACGAGGGCCAGCATCATGAGCCGAAGTTCGGATCTACGTGTGGAGATACGCCATCCCTGTAAGCCGGTGCATCCACATGCAGACTTCATATATGCAAACATACATGCCTGCACGCATGCACACATACAGACGGACACATAGAGATAGAGGTGGACATGCAGATAGAGAGAGGAAAGAGATAAAGATGGAGATAGAGATTGACATGGAAATGCAGCTGTGGACATAAATGCAGATCTCGATATACTCACACACACATTCATGTGCGTAAAGACATGCATAGGGATAAACAGAACCAGACAGGTATGGACGCATGCATATATGTACGTATGTACATAGCCACGCAAGTGCGTACATGCAAGACGCTCTTACAGTCCGCGCCGAGGACTTTGACTGTCTCAAGCCGATGGCAGGCCTCCTTGCTGGGGTCCTGAAGGGTGGCCACGAAAAGGCATTCTGCCTGCGCGGCCTTACTCAAAATCTTGATTTGAGTATTTGCAACTCAAAGTTCCGGACCGGGCAAAATCTGACGAAGCTGATCTGGCACGGAAGGAAGGGCTCTGGCCCTGACGATAACCGCCGATTAGATGTCACCGGTGCCAAAATCGAAATTGCGATGTGAAGCCGCCCCTTGGGGCGTGAAAGACTGAGGTTTCCCTTAGTCAGATTATGCTGCATGGAGGTGGGAAACAGCGGGACAGCGATTGTGCACTGTTCGGTTTTGCTGTGCCAGAGCCACTAATCCATAGCCGCGCCGGGCCATGGCCCCAATATCGGACCCTTCACCAATTTAGGGTCGAGATCACACTGGCAAAGCTGGGAGAACAGCGTCGCACGGCAACCGAGTCGCTGACGGACACATCTCCACCTGCACAACCGAGCCCAGTCTCTTGCTCTCCCGATTTGCTGCGGCTGGCAACTACATGCTGGCTGCGAGGGATGCTTTGCGCTTTTGCGTGTTACAATGTTCTTTTCTGGATTTCAAACGATCCGTCGCAGTGGCGTGCTGCACACACGCTGATCCGACTGACGCAAAGCCCTGAAGGCCGCAAGCTGCAGGGGCCATTGCTCTATTTGGCAGGCGCCGAGTGGCACCGTCAGGTTCTTTGACGTTTGTCAAAGGCCGTCATGCATCGGCCAAGCATGCTCAGGCAAGCTTTCTTTCACGACATACTTTCGGAGCTCAGCCGCTGGACAAAGAGATCCAATCTGGTCGTCCCCGGCAATGGCCACGATCTTGTTGAAGGTTACTGGGTCCAGTAGCTTCTTCACCTTGTCTGGCCATTAGGTGTTGCTGTCCGAATCCCCCTCTGCTGCTGCAGGAACGGTCTAATGAGCTGCCGGCAATTTTCAGAATCACGGTCGCAACCCAGGGCACCGGGTAAATGATCCTCGCAGTCTCGCAGACGCAGCTCCCCTCCCCTCCCCTCCCCGCCACTTCTCGGCAGCTTCTCGGCAGCTTCTCGGCAGCTTCTCAGCTCTGGAGGCGGCCAAGGCTCAAGCGCCGAAGACGCTCGGGATAGTGGGCCGAAATGATGCGAGCACAGGCCTGGATGAAGGGGAGGAGCTTGATCGCCTCAGCTGAGGAACCGGGCGCTGATTCGCCCCCCGGATCTGCCCCCCCCCTCCGGATCTCGCTCTCGCGCGAGGATGCGCTAAGTCCCCATCCGGTGGATTCGGCCAGCCTTCGCCCCGGCGTACATCGATGAGCACCGTGACCCGGGCCCTTACTTTCTCACACATCCGACTCGACCCAAAAAAGCGCAAGACTAATTCTCAAAAGCTCATTGAGAAGCTTCAGCATACTGCCCGGCACCGATCCCATGGAGTGGTCTGCTACCTAACGGCCCACTCATGCGCACATGATTTTGCAGCGAAAGGAATTCGAGTGTTGGAAATGTTCGACCTACGGAATTCAGAACCAGCAGGGTTCATAGTAGTGTATTCTCTGTTCATTGCTCTGAAAAATTCGGGTTTTTGTCTACGTGATTCTGCAATCTGCTGGACCACCACCACGTCAAAAGAATATCTGGTAGATCTTGCGGTCGGGTGTCTCCTCATCTCCGGCATCCGCGAATATTTCATCCAATACTCTGCAGATCCCCAACGTGTACTCCTGACGCCGGCAGAGCGCGATCACCATGCTGACAGAACAAACCATCCAGGAATCCATGACCCTCCCTTTCTCACAGGCATTCGAGAATCCACGACCCTAAACCCTAAATCCTAAAGCGCTAAACCGTACTACGTCGGTTCTCCCTTTGCGCTTCGCGCCTCTGGCTCGGCGGCTCCCAGCTGGTAGCGGGCCCCTTGCACAAGCAGAACCCGCGTGCCATCGCAGGCACCCGGCTCTTTGGGCCCTGAGGCACAGAACCTCGGGCCATTGAGGGGCCGGAACGTTTAAGTCACGAGGTCTCGAAGAAACTTCGTAGGCCGGGAACCCCTCAGGTGTCTTGGCAAGGGCAGTCTGAAGCTGCTCAGGGTGCCCGCTGCCCTGTCGCCAGCGCCGATGCTCGCTGAACATCGCCTTGTTAGCCCGGTGGGATCCAACTGAACACTAGCCCACTAGGTCACTCGGGCCACTTACGAGTAGGTCACTGGTGTCATGAGTCACCGTTTAGATTGACAGCAGGCAGTTGCTATCGCCGTCTTGCATTCCACGGGAGCTTGCGGGTACGGGTGGCAATTCACCACCGGGTGTTGCATCCCCCCCTTTTCCGGCTTCCGTACTGAACCGTGATGAAACCAGTGATGACGCACTTCCTGGGTGCTTCAACGGTGATGGCGGTGAGGGGTGCGTCGCTGCTGTGGCACTGCTAGCCATAACAAGCAACGAATCCGGCGACCACTTTATTTGCACTACGACTACTAGTTGTTGCTGCTGCTGCTGCTGCTGCTGCTGCTGCTGCTGCTGCTGCTGCTGCTGCTGCTGTTGCTGTTGCTGTTGCTGTTATTGTTCTTGTTCTTGTTCTTGTTCTTGTTCTTGTTCTTGTTATTTTTCTTGTTCTTGTTCTTGTTCTTGTTGCAACCCGTTCTGTTTCTTCGGCCACGACGTCCAAGGCAAGCGACGAGAGCAGTGTCGGGATCTCTCCACCGCGCCCGAGCGAAGCGCAGCAGCTCGTCTTGCGGTACATCCTCGGCTGGGCTCTGATTAAGAGTTTGGGGTTGACTTGTAGAGCTTTTAGGGCTTATAGGGCTTATGGTTTAAAGTTTACAGTCGAGGAAAGCTCTGCGAAGTGCGTTTTGGACTCTCACAGCTTGGCAGATGGGGTGAGGGTTCTGCTTACAAAAAGCCAGGTGCGCTTGGTGGAGGACTCAAGATCTCGCTTCTCATCCGAGTGAATCCACTGGCCTCTTGGCTTTGACTCCATGGCCGATACGGCTGGATCGCACTCCACAGATTCTGCAGAAAGTTCCGTGCGTTTCGATTTTTAGGGCGGCTCAGTTAGGGTTTTGGTCAGGTCTCGAGCTTCCGGCTTAGCACCTAGGACTGAGACGCGTGGAGGCACCTTTGCGAGCAGGAACAGAATGCCATGCACAACCTTTGCCGCACAAGTGAGGGTGCAGTGTTTCACAGGCGAACAACTCGTGGATACTAAGCTGTTTGCAACATCTCTTGGCCATCTGAAGCTTCAATCGCCAGCGAAACTCTCACGAATTAACATAGGCCACAGGAAAAAGTCAGGCAAAACAAAGGGATGCAAGGATGAGGAGAATAATCAGCGCATGGCGAATGCTTTGCCGTGGCACAATTTAGCGTCTCAGTGGCAAGGACCCTCGCAACGGAGACATGCACCAACAAGGACCCTCTGCAGCCTGTGCACGGAAATCTCGTGTTTGACGTGCTGCGGACCTGTGACATGTAGCTATAGCTCTCATCATGAAGGCGGCTTGGCCCCGCAAAGCGAGACTTCATGACCACGTTTTGGTATTCTGGAGGAGCACTGCTAGTCTTGTCAGCCGAGCTGCGTTGAATCTCTCTTGCAAGGCCGCCAAGCTGCGTGCCGCACCCTCGCTGCGGGCATCTGCAGCCCGAATAGTCCGAGAACCTCGGGGTTAGAGGGAGGGACTTGAGAGGATGTGGTGAGGGCCGTGAGGGCAAGGGCTAGCAGAGCCATGTCCAATCTCTTCACCGCACCACCAGCCTCGCTGGCCTCGCTTCGCAGCCAGCAGGGCCAAGCCGAGGGCCGCTGGCATTCGACGGGCACCGAGCCAAGTGAGGCGCTGGCCCAGGGCCTCTCACGAATCGAGTTAATTCCGAGCGCGACATAAATATTCTATATGGGGAAACAGCAGCTCGAGCAGCCACGTAACAGCAACCAACCTGTGAATGCTATCGCTTCTACATGAGACTAAGACGCTTCAAACGGCTGGCAAGTTCAATCCAGTTCTGGATTGAATGCCTCCGCACCCCACCTCTCTTTCTGCTACTTGCTCGAGGCATGGAGGGTTGTACATGATATGAAGGCTTTTCGTTCCTCGTCTTCTTGAGGCCCCGGTGGACACAAACTGAAAAGTCCGGCTGGGCGTCATGCTCTCAAGCTCTACACACCACTGCATGGCTGTGCTGAGACATGACAGGGCGAGATGCCAGCATTGCCGAAACGCAAAGCACTGGTCTTCAATCGCTCAGCTTTAGCTTACATCCTAATTGGATGGACTTCCGTCCTTCCCTTTTGGAAGATGACAACTCGAAGCTTCCTGTCACAAGACGCTGACTGAGCCACTGGGCCACTGGCCACAAGCTTCGGAGGGCCCAGTCGAACTCTGTATGGCAAGCTGGATGTCGCGCGGACCAGCGGCCCATGCGTCGCACTTCTGGCCAATGCCATCTGCATGAAACGTGGAGGGGCACCTTTTACATGCTGTTTGTTTTGCCTCCTGCATTACTGAGCATGCTGTGTGTAGCTGGGGCTACTTAAGCTGCGCTCCGCACCCCAAATCCTTTTCGCACATCTGTTGAAGATGAGTGAATGCAGATAGAGTGCCCCACCTGCGCATGCACAACACGCGCTACTATTATGATTCCTGCGCATGCCCCAACCAGTCCGAGCTCTCCGTTTAGGTTGCCCTACCAGCTCCACCCGATTGTAAAATTCGCTTCAGCCAGCGCCGGCACACAGGATTGCTCAGGCAAGACTGTTCCCAACGAGATCCGCAGTACCAGCAGCAATGGCATTTCGAATTACACCGGCTCACTTCTGAGCAGCCGGCCAATTGTTCCCAGAGCTGCAGCTGCTGCACGGCGCACACTGGCCTTGGCGGCGTGCAATGCGATGGGCCACAACTTTGGGCGTCTCCGAGATGCCTGAAACTGCCGAAAAACGCTAGGACTGCTTCCTCGAGACAAGCTCTGCTGTGTTGTGCTAGTCGATGGTACTATGTAAGCATACGTACGGTTAGGTGTGCCTGCCCGCGTGCTCATATTTCCGTACGTCTGTATGCATGTATGTATGCATGAAGGCCACATACATACATACATACATACATACATACATACATACACACATACATACATACATACATACATACATACATACATGCATACATACATTCATTCAGACACAGACAAACAGACATGCAGACTTACAGACACGCATACGTACACGCCTACATACATGCATACCTACCTACTTACCTATCCACCAACCGCCCACCGACTTACCTGCGTACCCACCTATCCTGCTACCTCCTTGCCTGCCTGCCTGCCTGCCTACCTACCTAACTACCTACCTACAAACATACAGATGCATGCATGCATGCATACATACATACATCGGCGCGCACACCACTTTAGGAGCTTCAAGGCTCAGAGGTTCTGACCAGAAAGCGACAGCCCCGTGAAAGACAGAACCCCAATCTAACAGAGAACCATGTCCTCGAGACACATAAAGCGCCATGCAATGCAGACAAACAGCAACAAGCTTTTTATCTCTCCTCGCCGATCTTCAAAGACGATGTCTCCTGGACCTGGAAGGTCCCTCGGTGCTGGAACGTTGAAACGTGACACGCACGGAAGCACCTTTAACTTGATGCAACCGAGCACGTCCTCTTGTTCTTGCTGATTCTTGTTTGTTTCAATGGCAAGATGCCAACAGCCAAGCCCTCAAGACAGCATGACCAAAAGCAGAGAGAACCCTGCAGCAGTGGCATTTTCAAGACTCTGTTACCTGAGGTCCGTGATTAGCAAATTGGCATGGAAATCTGCAGGCCCCAAGCCCTCAACCTTCCAGTCTAGGGGTTAGTGCACTACAACTAGCAGTTGCAAAGCATAATAAGGGTTTAGGGATCGGAGTGTTGGTTGAGGGGTTTAACAGTCTTGTATTTCGCACCCTTCACCCCTTCACGCACGACTCACTAAACTGCAGCCCCCATAGGACAGAGGATTCAGTCATCAGAAGCAATGTCCCCAACTAGCCTCGCGATAACGTGCCCCACAAACCCTACTCGAATTAGAAAAGGCTTCTAGTTCAACAAGCATGTAATGGTTTAGGAACCTGAAGAAGCTGTTGGGCACTCGCGGGCTTTCATGTCTTTGGGCTGTTGAGGGTTCGGGCTTGAAGGCTTACCTGTTGTAAGGCTTCCAGATTAGGTTTTAGGATTTCGGGCGTATTTACGTGATACAGCAAGACACCAAGACGTGGTAGAACACTATCTAGATGTAGCACTTGCGCTGCTTCCGGCGCCGGCTCGTTGAGCGCGTGCGGCTGCGCGAGCGCCGGAAGCGCTCACGGGAGTGCTGCTCGTCAGCCTTTCCTCTCAGCTCTCCACAGGACTTGATGACCACAGATCCTGGCACGGCAGACGATGACGACCCCATGCTTCCAGTTTGTAGAGCTACTGCTCGTGTTTGGCAACCATTCTCTTGAGGCAGCGTGCCGCCAAGCTGTACTCCCCAGGACCGCGCCTTTGACTTCGCCTGACTGCGATCCGCAGTCCTGAAGTCGTTTCATGACCTCCAGCCGCGGCTCACAAGACTCTTTGAGTCGGCGTGCGTGCTCTGGCAACTGGCTCGGCCTTGCCTGGCCATCCTCGCGCAGGATCTCGCCGAAGACCACGTGCTTCCGATCCAGATGTCTCGCCTGCAGGAAGTGGAGCGAGGCCGGGAAGCGGAACCCGAACAGGCAACGCCGTGCTCTCAAACCAAACAAACAAGCTTACGGGGTGCGTGTGTGTGTGTGTGTGTGTGTGTGTGTGTGTGTGTGTGTGCGTGTGTGTGTGTGTGACCCAGTCGAGGATGTTGCGACTGATCGAAGAGCACCTGCCCAAAGAGGATAAAGAACTGCGAGTTGTTCGTGTCCGGCCCGGAGTTCGCCATGGAGAGGAGGTTTGCTCGAGCATGCAGCCGGGTGAAGGACTCATCCGCAAACTTGGGGCCATAGATGGACAACCCTCCTCGAAGGCTGGCATCATTCCGACGACTCACATCTGTATGAGTGAAGACATGGTCCTGTGCCATCGCCATCCGTGATGTCTCCTCCCTGCGCCATGAAGCCGGGGATGATTCTGTGGAACACCGAGCCC